ATGGTTTATAGAACAGCTTTGCTTTAGTTAGGCTTAAAAACAATAAAATGTGTCCTTTCAATATTTATTCAATCATTTTTATTGACTTTATACTGTAGTTGTCTTTCATTTGATTTTAAATTTCTGTTTCAAAGTGTGGCTATTTTTATGTGCACTGTTGCTGTTTGTACTGTGAAGTACAGCGCCGGTGTTTTTTGTTACTTCAGTACACGTTGTACAACTGCCCAAGTGCATTGACGGTCTTGTATTGTGTTTGTGGAGGCATTTCTTCCTGTGATTATGTGGCGATTATGTGACAGGATGTTGTGTTGCTGCAGCTGATACCGTGGCTGTTGGTGCACCTTTTGTTGCTGTCGAGGATCAGCTGATCAGGCTCTTATTTTTGTGCTAGTGTTCCTAAATATCACACTTTTCCCAGAGGGAGATGCAGGAGCAAGCAGTGAACATGTAGTGTGGATGTACTTTTTAAAAATGTGTAATTTAATTTATGAATAAGAAATTTGTCAGTGGCAATTTTTTAATTTTTTCAAATGAAGCCATATTCAGGTTTGCGGTCTGGTCTGTGAACTATAAAGTTTTTTTAAATCATCTATTTTAGTGGTGAGTTGGTGGTTAGCACCGTTGCCTCGCAGCTAGAAGGTCGCCGGTTCGCATCCCGGTGAGGACACCCGGGATCTTTCTGCGTGGAGTTTGCATGTTCTCCCCGTGCAGCGTGGGTTCTCTCCGGGTTCTCCGGCTTCCTCCCACACAGTCCAAAGTTGAGGTTAATTGGTGATTCTAAATTGTCTGTAGGTGTGAATGTGAGTGTGCTTGGTTGTCTGTCTCTAAGTGTAGCCCTGTGATAGACTGGTGACCTGTCCACGGTGTCCTCTGCCTTCGCCCTAAGTCAGCTGGGATCGGCTCCAGCCCCCTGTGACCCTTGTGAGGATTAAGTGGTGTGTAAATGTATAGATGATGGATGGATCTATTTTAGTGCAAAAAGCTACAGTTTAAGCCTTATGTCATTATCACTTTAACATTTTTTTTATTTTTTATTTTTTTAGTGAATTCCTGAGTTATTAGTAGCATTGTTTTTACTAATTGCAAAACCAAAAATATCAGCATCACTTGGCACCAAGACTGCATGAATTATGAGGCTGAAACCACATCTAAATGATGTGTAGGCCTACTACTTGCGTTATTTGGTTATTAACTGGCTATTTGATCATGTAGGAATAAAAGACTGGTACTGAATGAGTGGAAAACTGTTCCACTTGTTATTTTATCCTTTATCAAGACAAGTGAATGCCACAAAAATACAATCCTGTCTCAGACTGTCTGAATAGACAGTATGAGTACTGTGCAGGTGCTGCAACAGTGTAGGCGTGAGTGCAGACCAGACTGTAGTAGCTCCCGGCTTCCTGCAGCTACCCTTCAGCCGTCATCATCATTCTCATCCCTATGAACTGAGAGACCAGGAGCCCGAAGATGTTGTCATATCCCCAGTGAGCCAGTCTGAGCTCAGCTTGCCACACACTACAGGATGAGCTCATACTCTATTACTTATTCATAGAGTCTGTCACACAGGCTGACGCAACCACAGACAGACGTGCTGTTTAAAGGAGGTGGAGAGGCATGCATGCAGTACAGGCTGGCAAGAGTAAGGCTGATCGGCATTCACCAGAGGCAACCAGAGGCAGGATGCAGAGGATATTTTTGACCTAGAAAAAAAAAAAAAAGACATCCAAAAGTCCAGTATGTTTTTGTGTAACACCCCGCAGATCGGTCTCTTGCTGTTTCATGCTTGGCTGTGTCTTTGTGTGCGAATGACAAAATGTGCTTGAAATTTGGCAGTTTCTTACTCAGAGAAGAGAACTGGCAGCATGTCTGATGGAAGCTCCGTGTTTCATTCTGCCACTGTTTTAACATGCTGGGGTCCTTTTTGTTGGTCTCATTGGTTGTAATTAGTAAGCATATTCTTCAACTGATGGCTGCTTTTGGACTGCAGGCACCCTCTTGTTTTCTCTTTTTAAACCAGTCAGTGGAAATTTGACCCCATGTTACAGGCGTCAGAGAAACACTTATAAAGGGCCTCAATGGACAGAGATGACTGATAGGATAAACAAACTGAGTTGCAGTTATTGTAATTCAGTCATTCATTGTTGGGAGAGGAGATTTTGTGTTGTGTTTCGCCCTGCCCGTGTTATTTTTAGACACACAAAAGCTATATTAATTTAACACATTTCTTATCAACTGAAGAAATGTGTTGTTTAGACGAGCTATTTCTTTGTGTGAACTTAGAACAATGTAACAAAAAAAACCTACGCTCTGATTGTATGGATATTGTATTTTGTAACAAATTAATAGTGAAGTTGTTGTAAAAAGTATATCCAACATTTTTATTTTATTTTTAATTTAAAAAATCCCTGTCAGCCAGTTTATTGTTATTGGATTGAATATTCTATATAAGATCACGCGGTGGTTAGCACTGTCGCCTCGCAGCTAGAAGGTCGCCAGTTCGCGTCCTGGTGAGGACACCTGGGATCTTTCTGCGTGGAGTTTGCATGTTCTCCCCGTGCAGTGTGGGTTCTCTCCAGGTTCTCCGGCTTCCTCCCACACAGTCCAAAGTTGAGGTTAATTGGTGATTCTAATTTGTCCGTCGGTGTGAATATGAGTGTGCTTGGTTGTCTGTCTCTAAGTGTAGCCCTGTGATAGACTGGTGACCTGTCCACGGTGTCCCCTGCTTTCACCCTGAGTCAGCTGGGATAGACTTCAGCCCCCCCACGACCCTAGTGAGGATTAAGCGGTGTATAGATAATGGATGGATGGGATTCAGTTGGCCTATATTTTGCACATCATGTGCGATATAACATCAGAACCATAGAAACAAAAGCAATAACAACTGAACCAATATGCCTCTAAAACTTTATCCAGCATCTCGATCAAGGACATTTTAGCAGTAAAAGTTACACAGGGGATGGAGCCATTACCTTCAGGCTAAGCATCGATAATTGGGCCAGATTAAAAGTCATTTCCAGCAGAATTGCTCGTCTAATTAACTCGACTAGCAAGTAGTTCTTCTCTATACGCATTCCCTCTATACACATCAGGGTGATGAGAGCTTAAAGACACAGTGATTCCTGCTAGTGTCGTTTGTCTCGGCTCTCTTTGTGTTTGAAGAAAATGGTAACAAATAAGGTCACCTGCCTGACACTGTCTTGTATTTCCCTCAGCGACTCCTATTTACTTGTGTCAAAACCTTGGTATCTGTAACACACACATGCACCCACACACACTGACATACAAACACTGTCCTAAACACACAGTGGTAGCTAGGGCAGCTCACCTGATGAATATAATCATCTCAGTATCCACAGTTACAAGCCTGCTACTGCCTTTAGATTTTTAACTGAGAACGTTTGCAGTTCAAAGCTGGCAAAATGCAGAGATGTACAATACTTGTGCTAGAATTCAGACTTAGATTAAGATACATTTGTGTTTGTTAAAAAACTCCTACATAGTATTTTATAACAGCTCCTAATAATCTTAGCAGGGTGTAAAGGTTTGCATGTCGACTTGTAACTGCAATTATGCAGATTTAAGGTCCGGACAAACTGAATAAATGTTGGTGAAGACGCAACATTAGCAGCGACTGCCCCTCCTCTTAAACAAAGATTTAAATACCAGATTAGAGTGTGTTTGTGTTGGGCAGGGTTTAGGTGTGAATCTATGTCAGTGTGAAGCAAGATGCTTGATCCCTGGCTGCCAGAAAACAATGCTGTGTTGCTGGAAAACTGATTCTGAAATGCACATATAAATATTGTGAAATGGTAGTTTCCTGTATGATAAATGTTGCTGTCTCACAAAAAGCATCTTTGGTGTGATGACTTTTGTAACATACAACTTGAACTTCTAAAAAATGTTCTTCTGAGCAACACGCAGCGGTAACATAACATGAAATGAGCAAGGATTAAAGATGATACTGGGTTGATGATGAGAGACATAAGTTTCACACTGTTCAGCAATTTAGCAGCTTCCCCTGGAAGTGCTTCTTAACTGACTGAAAACATATGAGTGTTTTTTGTTAAAAGACACAGGTGCTGTGTATGGCATGTAAGTATGCACGTTGAGCAAGAGAAAAGTTGTCTTAAAAAATGGTTGACTTCATTGTAGATATGCAATATTCTGTCAGATGGCATGAAATAATGGTTATTATATCTGACCGTAGTTCTGAAACTTCAACTTTCTGTCCAGAATGCACACACACTGAACATGGCAGAAAGAGGGTGGAGACTGTTTATTGTCAGTACAAATAGACATCTGACAACCAACCAGTGCTATTATCCCTCCGTCTGTATGTGTGTGTGTGTTCAGAGGGCTGTAAATGATTGTGTTTTTCCAGTTGAGCAGAGCTATTGTGGCTGTGTATCCTGAAGACACAAACAATCTGACACAAACATAGTGGAGATGTCTTGTTGACGCCTTGATTCAATAAGTTGTCATGAAGCTCCTTCCAAAAAGGAATTATATAAATACAATTTATAATTACTAGGAATGAAAGTAGGAGATCTATTCGACTGATTCCCAGCTGTTCTTAGGACTCCAGATGGAGAAATGAGGGAAGGATGAAAGAAGGGAGGAGATTAAAATTACATTTATTTACACAATAGCTTTTCTCTGTAATTTGGCATTCGTGTGGAATTTGTAGGGGCACAGAACTTTACTGGCATTACTCTATTCCCACACTTATGGTAATATATCTAGTAGGATGTGTGAGACGTGTGTCTGTACTCTACACACAACGCACAATAGTCGCTCTCACTACTGAGTCACTGGCAGGAGGATGTGTGTGTTTTGTGTGAATAAATACAGAGGCAGATTGACTGCTGAGTCATCCAATTGAGAATTTTCACTCCATGTGCTCAATTCTTACAAATTTGATGTCTAAAATGTGTTTTTTTTCTTCTTTTCTTTCCTCCCCTTGTCCTCTTTCTCTGTCCTTTCTGTTTTTCCATCTTCAGGACCAGTTTGATAATCTGGACAAACACACTCAGTGGGGGATTGACTTTCTTGAGCGCTACGCAAAGTTTGTCAAGGAGAGGCTGGACATAGAGCAAAACTACGCCAAGCAGCTACGGTACAGACGTGCATACACACACAATAACAATACCTATATAAGTATAAACCTTCTTACATGTGGGATACACAGTTTTCCTTTATTTATGTCTTTGTCTCACTTGTACGAAAAATAGAAGAACCCCATCAATGCTAAAGAAGTTGTAGTGCACATTACTTGCATCTGATCTGACTTATTTAAATACAGTATCTTCTGGGAGTGAATCCTTATCAAATATTTACATAGCCTGCATCACACCACATTTTGCTTAAATAACTCTGCAGACTCATGCTGGGATCAGACAACGTTTGTCTTTTGAGGTATAAGATTAGGTGCTCATAGAGTCGTAAATTCTTTATGTGGCTTGACTGAGAGACACGACAGACTACACCACTGACCCCGACCAGCCGTGGTTGGCGGCCTTCTCACCGTTCCACCTGGCAACACCAACAATAATCATTGTCATAAGCATGGTGTTATGACTGAAAGTGAACCCAGCTCGCAGAAAGCGGATAAGTGTGTTGGAGGGTAGCTTACATTCTGTAAGGTTATATGAAGAGGTTTGGGAAGGTATTTTATGGAGCCCAGAAGTCATTGTTGTAAAGCCACTGTGCGGCTACTATCCTGTTGTCTGATCTCTGCATAGGTTTTGGGACTGTTTTCACAAGATTTGTCAAGCTGTCTTCATCTCCAATATGTTTAAAATCTCAAGGCTAATTGTAGATGTACAGTTCCTTTTCAGCCATTGATTGATGATCAGCATTGCATATTTAGATTTTTTTCCCAGTTTAAGTAATCTTTTATTGCCTCAAAACTCACACCAGTAAGTAATGCACACCAACTCACCTACAGCTCTACACAAACACTAGTCAGTTAACCTACACTACGCAAGGGCAAGTTGTACTATTGGAATAATTCAGTCATGCATGTTTGGCCAGAAACCCCATTCAGAAGAGGAATAAAAATACAGAAAGCCCCACCCAGTGAGTTGACACGTTTGGTTTTTTGATTTGTAAAATATAAATCTGTTTCTGAGATTAGTGTAAAGGTGGAAATACTAGAAACTAATGCTGCTTATTTCACTGATAATGTATCCTCCAATGATTATAAAACACCATATGGACATGTTAAAACTGTAAAGTAAAATGCTGAAATAAAAGTCAGGTGACTGATATTGTGTTTGTGTATTTGATGTTTATTCCAGTGTATCCCAAGTGCAGCAATTCTTATTAAAAATCAGTCCCAGTGGTTGCTGATTGTGATTTCAAAGGGGGGAAATCTCATGTGAATACACTGAAGTGCACACTGATGCACGCTGCTGCAGCTCTGAAGTCTGAAGAATGATCAAAGATGCAGCTGTCTGTGGAACAGTGTGCATGTTTCAGACAATAAATCAAACAGAAATGCCCCTTATTTTGTAATCGATAACAAGAAAACACGTGTGGGCACACACACACACAAAAAAACACACCTACACACCTACACCTACACTTACACGCACACACATAAACACACTGCTCTGCTCTGCTCATGTTAAATCATTAAGTTGCTGCTTCACTGGAGTCTGTATTGTCAGAGCCTGAGGGAATGGACAGGCAGAGACTTTGATGTTTAAATCTTTGATTCATCTTTAATAATATACTGAGGTCCTCTTGCTCCCTTTCTGTATGAGTGTGTGTGTGTGCCTCTCTCTGGTGTTGTTACTTTTCTCTCCCAGGCTGAAAATACCAGACAGTTTCTTTACCGCTATGTCTGTCTCTGTCTCTTTGCTCTCAGGAACTTGGTGAAGAAATACTGTCCAAAACGCTCTAAAGATGAAGAGCCGAGGTGAGTCATTTTAGATGATTTCTGTTATTGTGAGTGGTGTCCTAAGATCACAATGGACGTCTGCAAGCACAGAAATGGCCTGCCGGACATTTTTATAGATAATGCTTGGTTGTGTTATTTGAAGGACACTGGGTGTGATGTGGTTGCACATATTCTGTCTGCCTGTAGACTTACCAAACAGTTCAACTAGCTGTATGACAAGAGTGCACTGGGGAAATGTGTTGGGCAGATAAGGAACATTTATAGGACTTTAATTATATATTATATTTCACACACAAGGATGCCTTGGTTTGCTATACTTTACAAACATTGGAAAGAAGACCGTTATATTAATCATGTATCCTCAGGTGTTGTCACTACACAGAGAAAGGACACAATTACGTTGTAGGTGTGGAAGGTTTTCTGACTGAGTTTAACAACACAGTAATGTAAAACAGCTTTTCTATGCTGATTCTAAGCTTAATTAGTAAAATTAGTGCAAGATTTCTTCTTGGTATTATACACAGGCTGAATCGCATGACTTGTGTTGATTTTAATTCCGTACACAGACACATGTTTAATGCGTTATTATGTTCCACTATGATACATTAGAAACAGGGAACGCTAACTGTTCTTGATGAAGGCAAGGCTACTCTCTGACTGAACCCAAAAATAAAATTGTGTGGGAATTTGCCTGAAGCATTTAGAAGCATGCACAATTTGCCCATCTGTCAACATAGCAACAAGAAGCTGTAAAGTTACAGTATATTTAAAATCACAGAAGATCAAAATTGTAAATGATGTGTAAGCTAGTTTCCCTCAGATGTTACAAATGATAAAAAAAAAGAAAAAAAATATCATTGCTTTGGAATTTCTAACAAAATGTTGTGGAGTCCTTTTAACAGTCTTTTCTCAGAGATTGTGCTTTAGATTTCAGATCTCCTGTTTTTTGGTAGTTATGTTAATGGTGTCACTGCAGATGCATCTAGCAGGTGACTAGAGACAAAGCATTATCTGTTTTGCCTTAACCATGTGTCCATTTTGCAGGTTCACGTCATGTCTGTCATTCTACTCCATTCTGAATGAACTTAATGACTATGCTGGTCAGAGGGAGGTGGTGGCAGAGGAGATGGCGCATAAGGTTTATGGAGAGCTGATGAGGTACAGCCAAGACCTTAAAGCTGAGAGGAAACATGTGAGTACAGTAACATGTTCATACATCACTCTGATGTTTGCTTTATTTAATAAAAGCGGCACGTACGGTGTGTTTCAGTGATTTTAAGCGCATTTATTACTAGCAGTCATAAGGAAGCTGGTACTGGTTTCGCCTTGTAAATCTATGAGTATGTGTGTGTCATTGTGGCAGTATACCAGGATGGCAACACCTACTGTAGCAGCAACTACTATAAAGCTGGTTTTGAATACCTTGGCAGGTGTTTATACATCGGCCTGTGGACAGATTTTGGTCAAAGTGATTGCTTGTGCCAGATGCAGACGTACAGGACTGTGGGTGAGATTAAAATGAAGGCTGAGTTCAAAGACAGATATGGTCTGACCCCATTAGTACCAAGTACTCATGTAATCATGTAATAATTACAACATTATATGAGGACATGTGGACAGGTGTCCCCGCTGGTGTGATCACATTGCGAAATGGTCTTTGAACATAGCGCTGCGAAAAAATGTCAGAAAACGGATGTTACTGTTTGCCCTTTGTATCCTCTGGTTCACCTCACATGCCTTTGTTTTGTGGTTGGCTTTACTCAAGAGGATAAATATGTTGGATGTGATGTTAACCATCTGTCTTTTAGTCTTCCACCATCTGCTGATGGCATAAACCTGAGAATCTAATTGGATTTGGAAGAACAGCGCCCTCTTCTCTTTTTTGTGCTATATGGCTACTTTCACTCATTGACAAATGCCCTGAGTGTGGAGTTCTGATCTAACTTGTTGACATTTGAGATGCTGATGTTGTAAAACTGGAATGATAGTTACTTTTGTTTGTATTATGATGTTGAAAGACTAGAAATGGCAATTGTTTTCACACTGCCTGGCAGTCATAAGTGTATTTGTAATGTCATGTAATAATGTCATCTTAACTGTGTCAGTGTTTCATATCTCCGTGTCGCACCAGAGCAAAGATTTTTCCGACAATAAAATAACCAGTATTGTTTTAATACTCATCACATAGTCATTTGTCATGGAGATGAATCTGTTTACTTACAAGCTGTTATAATTTAATTTAATTCACAGCCCTTTCAGGACTTTTCTTTTGTATTGGCTTAAGTGATATGTGGAAGGCCATTCTTGGCCATAAATTAATAAAAAATATAATAATGCTTTTCTGTGCGGTGCTTTTCAAAACTAATTCTACAAAGTGCTCAAACAGGGAAGCAAATCAGCTTCAAGAGATAAAAGATAAAGCCAATTCCAACAGTGCAAGATAACAAGGAGTTAGAAAGTTCAAAGGGGAGTAAAAGTCTTTTAAAAAAAAAAACATAAAATAAGATAAATCAAATCAAATCAAATCAAATCAGGAAAGGCCCTTCAATAAAGGTACGTTTTATGAAAGGATTTAAAAGATGTCATTGACTCAGCCAGCATGCTTTCTTCAGGCGTGTTCTTCCAGAGCCTCGGGGTCCCCGACTGCAAATGCTTTGTTCCTTTTAGTTTTCAGCCTCTGGGGCAGATAAAAGGATCTCTGGAGGTCTGAGTAGTGATAGATATAATACTAAGATGAATAATTTGGCAAAGGAAGGTCATGCAGAGCCTTAAAAGTAATCAATGAGAGCTAAAGTTGATTGTAAAGCTCAAGGTCCACTTACAGTTTTAGCCTTTTCTATACTTAGAATATCACCAACAGATCCATCTCCATGACAACAGAATAAACTCCATCCCCTGATTATTTCTGTGTGATACGTTTGAAAGTGCAGATAAAAGGACATGAGAATTAGATTTTTTTTAAAGCCAAACTATATGTGCTTTTTCCAACTAATATTATAAAACGTGGTATTTGCTAAAAATGTGCTCCCCTAATCAGGATTGCAAAACATGACAATAACTGGCTTTGGTAATAAGTAACTAGTTTTCAGTGCAGTTTCATTTGTCATTTTACTGCTTAAATAACTGAACTCTTGTAAATCTCCGACTGTGGCCTCAGCTCTTTTCCTTCCAGTGGATTGTTATTGTGTATGTAATACTTTTGTGTATGTGCACATGTTTAAACGTATATCTCTGTGTTTCTGTGTAAATGTCTTTTGTTTCTGTGTGTGTGTGTGTGTGTGTGTGTGTGTGTGTGGGTGTGTGTGTGGGTGTGTGTGTGTGTCAATAAATGAGCAGCATCTACAGGAGGGCAGGAAGGCTCAGCAGTATTTGGATCATTGCTGGAAACAGATGGACAATGTAAGTGAGGAGGGAGGGAGAAGGAGGAAAAATTGAAGTGTTTAGTATAAACAACCTCTGTTAGGGACAGCCAGCTGCATTCAGCTCATACTTGTTTGCATAAGGAATGAAAGGAATGCTAACAGAGGTAACTGAAGGGCAAATAGGATCCACTGTACCCCCGAATTTCACACTTCACACATGCCGTTATTTAGACGGGAGATAAATATGGCATCTCTGATAATGGAAACAGTTGTTCGAGGTAGCTTTGTGCTGGTATGGCCAAATGAATAGAAAATATAATATTAAAACATTTGTTTCTGACCATGAAAAGACAGCAGTGGCCTTTTCTTCTTCCTGGTAAGCTTCCCAGTCTGCAGGGACCAAGGACAGAGGCCAAGACCAGGAAACACACTCTCACACACACACACACACACACACACACACACACACACAGCACAGCACAGCACAGATCAACCCCTCCCATAGCAAGGCAGGGCCCATGTGCCACATTTGGCCTTTGACAACCTTCCTTCTGGCTCCCAAAAGGCTCCAGAGAGAGACACAGATTCCATTTGGTCACTTCTGAGGTCATTTAATTGCATTAGCGGAGTTCTTTTATAACAATCTGTTCATTACGAGACGTATAATTAACCACTGCGATTCCATAAGAGCTACAAAGCTAATTGCCGCTTGTTAAACTTATAAATAATACATGTCCAGTCACATTTGCTGGCCCGTATCTCGTTAGCCGAGTTACTTCGGCACATCAGCTGGAGAGTGTTTCAGTGTGTGGTCTGCATGACTTTAATAGTGACTACCTAGTGACTGGACTGTAATGTCTCAGCTATTCACTGTGTTTCCTTCACTGCTAATGTAACCCAGATGGTCTGGCAGGAAGTAAACTATCTCTTTGTCTGATTCATCTCCCTCTCATTCACATATTTTGCAGCTTTATTTACTGAGACATGAAATGGAGACAGAGCGATGCAATGAATTGACTATAAAATCTTTGTGTTTCTCGATCTATTTAACACTGTGCCCTCTTTTTCTTTATTTTAGAGCAAAAGGAAGTTTGAGAGAGAGTGTAAGGAAGCAGAGAAATCCCAGGTGACCTACGAACGGTTAGATAACGACATCAACGCCACCAAGTCAGAAGTGGAGAAGGTAGGAAGCAACACCACTGCTGCTGCTGCAAACAAACAAAAACAAAATAGTATGACATTGTCATAAATTATTCTCGGCGTCTCCTTTTTTTTTTTTTTTTTTT